GGAGGACGACGGCGACGACGGCGACGACGACAGCGAGCCGGGGTGGAGCGAGAGCCGGCAGAGGGAAGGCGGAGCGAGCGGAGAGGGAGGCGAGGGACGCGGGGGAGTCGCCGGCTGGTGTCAAGGCAGGCTAGCGGCTGCGCCAATCGGAAAGCAGAGCGTAAAGGTGGGGAGGGGGGCTGCATGCGTGGAAAGACCCTCTCCGTCTCCCCTTTACCCGAGGAAAAAAAAAACCCCGCAAGGCGGGCGACCCTTAGCCGGCATCCGCCAAAGCCGTCGAGACCGAAGCAGCCGATCTATTGCCGGCCGAAGGCGCGGATAAAGCGGAGGGAAGGCTGCGTACGAGCCTCCTCCCGAGCCCCCCTCTGGCCGGACGGGCTGACCGCAAGCCAGGGACGCAATTTGAGCTGGATTGGTTGCGGAGGGCGCTTTATTTTATAATCTCCGAACATCTGTCGGAGAGGAAATGGGGAAGAAAGGGAAAATCAGATAAGCGGTGACCTGCGCCTGCATTTTTTTTTACACCAGGACGTAGATCTAAGAGGAGGAGGTAAAGTCGGCAGCGTAGTTAGTGTTTGTCCCAGGGAGAAGGCACTCTTGATGCCCGTGCAGAGTGTCGGGGTGTTTTTTTTTTTGTTAAACGTGATCTCCCAGGCCAGGCGAAAGGAAACTTGGAATAATCCTCACCTGTAATAAATGCATGCTTTTTATTGCCCCCACGTTGTTCGTTGAAAGTCCTTCGGGATTGGGCGGCATATAAATTTAATAAATAAATAATAAATAATAAATAAATAATAAATAAATAAATAAATAATAAGGGTTACAAATCCAATATGGAGAAGTACATTCAACTAGATCCAGTTCTCAAATCAGATTGATCCGAAATACTTGAACCTATATATATGTGGGATTTTGTTTTTGCGAAATGAAACTTAGAATAATCCTCACCTGTAATAAATGCATGCTTTTTATTGCCCCCACATTGTTCGTTGAAAGTCCTTCGAGATTGGGCGGCATATAAATTTTATAAATAGATAGATAGATAGATAGATAGATAGATAGATAGATAGATAGATAGATAGATAGATNAAAAAAAATCACTGTTCAGGCACTCCCACTAGCAGGAGGATTCAAGCAAGAGAGACTAAGCAGTATGCATCAGCACTCTTCCTCCTTCATAGTAAATTAGATTTCTTTGGAATGCAGGCTTCTATCACACAAGAGTACAACTAGTAAGTCTCATTTGCGTAACAAAAGAAAACAGAATCTAGAAAATAGGCAAGAATTTGAAACAAACTTCTCTTTAGTTCCTAAATACCCATTTTTTTCCTTGTCCATTTGTGTTCTTAGCCTATGAAAGGTTCGAGATACCTGAAAAAGATAGATAGATTAACTGATAATAAACATATTAGATTTTTTAAAAGCCCTTGATATAAATTCTATGGGAATGGAGTAGAAAAGCAAAGATACTCAGTCTTGGAGTACAACTACAGCTCACTTCATCTTTGGGGTTGATGGGAGTTAGAGAGGCCAATTGTTCTGGAGGGCACTGCATTGGAGAAAGTTAAGATTACCAGAATAGAACTGATAACTCAAAAGATGCACTTTCTTCAGGTAGATGAAAGGCATTGAAAGCATTACCTGATTTTGACTGGCCTCATACAGCTCTTGAGCCGACGGGATTCACCTTCTTTAGAAGACCTCGTGGGTAGAACGTGGGCAGCCGCCGCCCCCTTCAGCACCACACTATAATTCTTGCCCTGGTTATTGGCCCAGTAAACTCCTTCTTCAGTCTGATAGCGCACCACAAAATCAAGCCGGGCTCCTCCTTCTTCCTCATCTTCCTCATCCTCGTCGCCAAACTCCAGGCGGAAGGCAAAGCGGTCAGTCAGGCCCCCATCGGGCGAGCCCCCTGGAATATAGAGGGCGGGGTAATCCCGGTAACTTTGCCACCGGTCCCTGCTGGCCCGCACATGCACCGCCTTGTGGTACGAAACGTTGAGCACGCGCACCGTGCCACGAAGCCCTCGCGGCTCTCCGGGCTCAGGTGGCAAAACTTCTTCCAATTCTACCTTGGCCTGGCGCAGCCGCTCAAGCTTCTCGTCCTCATCTCGCCCCACCGGTTGCAGCACAAAAGATGGCAAAAGGTAAGGGGTACCTGCGGAGGGAGGGAGGGAAGCCAAGGAGGGCACCACCTCAGGGGGGGACTCTGGAGAAGAAGAAGGCGGCGGCCAAGGCTGGTAGCGCCGCCAGCGTGCCAAGGGCAGGCCCAAGGCGTCGGCAAACAGCACGTGCCGGCCCGCAGGGTGCTGAGAGGGCTCCTCCACCGGGGTGGCGGCCGCAGGGGCATGTTGGGGAAACGGTCCAGGGTGCCCTTGGGCATGCTGGGAAGGGAGCCCTGGGCTGCCCTGCACTGCATGCTGGGAAAGTGGCCCAGGAGGCAGGCCTGGGGGATGCTGAGAGAGTGGCCTGGCCGAGCAAGGGTGCTGCTGGTGGTGGTGCCCGTCATCCTCCTCCTCCTCCCCGTCGTCCTCTGACGAAGAACAGCAGCTCTCTGAGGCGCTGGGGTGCTGAGGCCTGGGCACCGGGGAGGAGCGTGGCATGAGAGCCCGGCCTGGGGGATCTTCCTCCTCTTCCTCCTCCTCCTCGTCTTCCTCCCCGTCCTCTTCCTCCTCCTCCTCCTCCTCCTCCTCCTCCTCGGCCGCCTCCCGCGTGAGAGGCAAGGGAGGCTGTGGCGGCGGTGGCGGGGAGGAGGAGGAGGCCCCCGCGCGAGCCATGGCGGGCGGCTGGGAGAGGACGGCGGACTAGCGGCGCAGACAGCTGCTTGCTGCTATTGCCGAAGCTGCCGGGCGGGCGGGGAAGGAGTGGGGCGGGGGGGGGG